ACCTGCCTTGCAAGCCCAAGGTCCTGAGTTTCATCCCTGTTACCAAAAAAAAAAAAAAAAAAAAGATTTTCCATGGAAAGGGAGTATAGAAGCTTTCCTATATTCTGTATTTCACATGAAACTAAGCTAATGGTTATAATGGGCCATTCATGAAAACATTTTTGTTAGTTTACTGAATAAATCTGTGCTTATTCTTTCTTAAGTGTAGATGTAGGGGTGTGTGTGTGTTTGCTTATGTTTATGTACAGGTTTTTAATAAACAATTCCCAAATTGTACCTTCATTTCAACTGCAGAGGCTCTAATGACTGAATCTTGCATATTATTTTCTAATTCCAAATATATTAAAAACTAAATTGTATATAAAATATTCGGTCAAGGTTTAATGTTAGCAGAAGTGTATTCTGTAGTGTTTTTTTTTAAAAGGAAACCATTTGGGATTTAGAATTATATGGAAAGATTCTGTTAGCCAACATTCTTTACTTTTGCTTTCTTTACATGGTTCAGCCCCATCCAGCAGATTGATGCTATGCCGTAGCTAATGACACTGTGCTCACTAATATCCGTTAACACAAAATCATATTAACATGTTTGTGTACTCATCTCCATTTTAACATATTTTTTAAAAATCAGAGTGACAGTTTTCACTCAAGTGTTTTTAGTATATTTTTAAGCCAGCTAAAAATATTAACATGGACCTTAAAAACATTAGAGATCAATCAATGTGATTTGTCACATTTCTGTAGTCAAAAATCTTATTGACATACCTTAACAGGTGGAGGAGGAAAGGATAAAAGGTATAATCTTCTTATCCTGCGTTTAAACATGCTTATACTCAAATATATTTTTATGGAAACTTGTAATGCTGTTGAAAAGAGACTTAGACCCAAGGATAAGGTGAAACTCAAAGATCTTAGGACACAAGTTCTTTTTTAGGAAAAACTCCACTTTGAGGGAACATAAAGGATTACAGAAGTAAGAGACTGTACAAGGAAAACCTTTAAGTTAAAAACAGAAAAAAATAATGTTATCATTTCAGTTTTACTCCTTGAAAATGTCAGGAAAATCAATTTATTGTCTTTTATACAAAATATACCCAAAATATTATTGGGTACCCAAAATATACCCAAATATACCCAAAATACTATTTATACCCAAAATATTACAAAAGTTGTGGCAGAAATCGTGAGGAAAATGATGATAACAGAATGCAAAAATATATCTAAGTTTTAGAATTCTAGAATAAATTCTTTCTAGATGTACATACATAATTATAAGACAAGCAAAAACTGCAGGAAACTTTATTTTATAGGGCAAATGAAGCATAAAGAGCCATACAGGAACATGTTGGTAGAAACAGTGCTACAGGACTATTATATCAGAAAAATCTTTACTATGAGCAAAAATGCACTTGTAGTATTCTTGTCTGATGTCAGAATCACCGGTGTGGCTGATGCTTTCCTGAAAACATTACAGAGAGATGGAGAGCTAAGGGAGGAACCCACTCCAACTAGGAGTGCTATCAAGAAGAGGAAGCTACTTAATTGGAACGAAATACTGTACATAAAATAGTATTTTGTTAATATTATGATGTTACCCAGGAGGTTTAATACCAGTACCTTTAATGTTCACAGGAAAATCTGAGACTCAAAAGCAGAAAAATAAATCTTAAGCAATACTGGCTTTGCATGTTGTCTAAGACTATATTGTCTTTTAGGTTAAGCCTTTGTCTCACTTTAAGGGAGAAAACCCCATATTTTGATTCTCCTGTGAATTGATCATTGACTCACTCTAGTGCTAGGCTATAAAGTTAACTTACTTTTTTTGAATTTCTTTATTTCTTTGCTCTTACAGAATGACATCACTTTTTTTGTTTAAATGTGTCAGCTGAATATACTATTTCACCCTTTTTTTTTTTTAAGATACTGAATTTTTAACAACAATTTGTTTCCTTCGCTTCTCTCACAGGAAGTTGATGGCAATAAAGTTATGTCTTCGTTTGCCTCACACAACTCATCTACCTCACCTCAGAAGGCAGAAGAAGGTGGGCGACAAAGTGGCGAGTCCTTGTCTAGTACGGCCCTGGGAACCCCTGAACGACGCAAGGGCAGCTTAGCTGATGTAGTGGACACCCTGAAGCAGAGGAAAATGGAAGAGCTCATCAAAAACGAGCCCGAAGGTAAAAGCTGGAAAGGGAAACAAAGTTGTTGCTGCCTCCAGATTTTAAGTTTGATTTGGACTTCTAGTTCTGCTTTCTCATTTATACTTTTAAAGTTAAATTCTACACGGCCGGGGATTTAGCTCAGTGGTTCCGGCGCCTGCCTCGAAAGCAGCGCAAGGTCCCAAATTCTATCCCCGGTACCAAAAAAAAGAAAAGAAAAGAAAAGAAAAAGTTAAATTGGATAAAATACAAATCTAGCACTGTGAAGATAGTATTTTTTTCTCAGAAACACCTAAATAGTTCTCTCTGGATTTTTAAATCATAAATTTATGCTGTGATATCTTCCTTATTTTCACATATGAGTAAATTATGGTTTGACTGAAGCTTGAAGATTCAAGAATAGAATGACAGCAGAGCCCAGAACAGTTACCTACTTGTCAGATATCTGCAGTCTGGTATCTTGTCTCTAGTAAGTTTTTCCCAAGAACTCTTGTCGAATTTCTTTACATTTCCTAATCTTTATAGTATGTTTTATCTTGACTTGATAGTTATGTCTATTTCTTATATAGTCCAAAATTACTATGATTAGGAATATTGTATACTTAAAATTAGTGATTATCTAACTCTGTTATATGTACATAACTTTTCATTTGTTGAAATTCCAGGAAATCTTTCAGGATTTCATCTATAAATCTCTTCAGTAGTTGCACATAGCAGCCCTAAAGCTTATTTTAGAGGTAAAGCAAGCCAATAAAACAACTGATGCAACTTGTACAAGCGAATGAACAATTGACAGTCATTCTCTAGAGACAGATGCTTATTAACTCTCATTTAAACCTCTGTCTACCTTAAACATGGATGCCACATTGCATACAACATACAAGAACATGCCTCCTAATTCAGTCAGGGGAAATTCCAGAGAAACAAACCAAAAGTGACATGAAGACACACTTTACACCAGAAATGCATGTGTTTTTTAGGATACTCATAAATTATGAATATATTTGATACAAAATATATGTTAACCACTATTTTTAGGAGTCATGTGATAATTAAGTGTTTCTGGGTCCCTACCATTTGTAGAACTGGGGCATGGATTTTGGCTAAATTTATACAATTCTCATGATCTTAGAAATTGAAAGAATTTTAGAAATAATCTTGACAGCCAAGAATTTTTGGTATTTTGTTACCTTTAATCCCCCTTCATTCTCATGGGGAGAAAATGGAATTTTAAGGAGAACCCAGACAACCTTCATTTTTAAAATTGTAAATGTTTTTTCTTGATATGAAAACAAAATATTATAAGGAATTAAATAAAAATCACTTGATATTGTAGGTTTTTGATAGGACTCATTATGATGCATTTTTGTCTTTATTTCTACATATTCAGTTCAATTTACATGATTAACATTTTCTTTTTAAATTTACATCTTCCTTATTTCATTTAACATTTCACTATGATCATTGTCTCTTATTATTAAATGTATTTTTTTAAAAATAGCTGCCTACTATTCTGAAGTATGGCCATGATTCACTATTACCATTTACACAGTACTGCTTCTCTCCCTCTCTCTCTCTTTTTTTTTTTTTGGTACCGGGGATCAAACACAGGACCTTGCACTTGAGAGGCAGGCGCCAGAACCGCTGAGCTAAATCCCCAGCCCTATGGTTTTCTCTCTTATCAATATGTTACACTAGTATCATATTTTTTTATAATTGATGAACCAATAATGATGCAATATTTTTACAGTCCACAGTTTATTCAGATTTATTTAGTTTTCATTGAGAATGCTTTAGTTCTGTTTTAGCATTCCATCCAAGTTAACACATTATATTCAGTTATGTCTAGTTCTGTCTCTTTAGGCGTCTTTTCACTGTGGTAGTTTGTTAGACTGTTCTTATTTTTTTTTATTAAATTTAATTTTTTAGCTAAATTAAATTTTTGATAACAAAAATTATACATATGAATGGTTTACCATGTGGTATTTGAACCCATTTATGCATTGTTTTAATCAGGTTACTGTATCTATTTCCTCAAGCATTTATGATTTCTTCATGGTGGAAGTATTTAGAACTCTTGTAGTTTTTTGATGGATATTGATTTGAGGAATATTGTATATGTGTGTGTATTGGAGGATATCCCTCTACTGGAATTTATCTGAAATACTTTTCTTAATTAAACTGGGTTTTGGGGCTTGGGGAGGATGACCACTGAGTTAAAGTACAATTTTTGTCATATTACATCAATTACATGTTACTATGTCATTAAGCATGTTAAAGTTGACCATAATCATTTGGCTGAAGCAGTGTTTTCCTGAGTTTTCCCCTGTAAAGTTGCTCCCACCATCTTTCCAAACCTTACTCCTTTTTGAAAGGACAGCACTCTGCATTCCACATTTAACAAATGGCAAGTTATGCTTCCCTTGTTTAGAATGGAGTATCTACGTAATTTATTCAGAAGTCTATTGCATGGGAAATTTATCTCTACTCAACCATTTGTTAATTTATTCAATCATTTATTTGTATTATTATGGATTTGTGGATATTTATATTATACTTGTGTGTCACTTTGACATACAACTATCATTGTGGTTGTATTTATTATCATTATTTTAGCACTTCTTTACTTTCTAGTACTGTAAGATGCTGAAATCTCATCTTGTATATTTGCTGCTCCAGCCTAGCAATCAAGCATTTCTCTAAGAAACCCTGGTTCCTTCTCTTGGAGAAAAAATTTAAAAGGTCATTTCTTTTAGGGCTTTCAGAGCAAAGCAATACATACCAACCCGTGTATATACATATCTATAAATATTTTTGTCTAACAATTAAGGTAAACATGAATACTATTAATGTCTCAAATACTAGTGCATTTCCACATAGATTATTTTAGCCTCATCCTTGTTGATCTCTACTTTCCCACTCCAAATTTGAGGAACCTGGCTCCTGTCATGTACCATCCACTTAATTGTTCAATTCCAGTCTATGTGCATAACTATCAGAACTGTTAACTAACACTGTAGTTCTAACCATTAAGTATGATGTTCACTTCTTATGGTGGTGATCAAGTTCAAGTTCAGGTGACTTCCTGTCTATTCCTAGTTTGATGAATTATAGAATTTACCATTTTTTTTCCTTCCTTCCTTCCTTCCTTCCTTCCTTCCTTCCTTCCTTCCTTCCTTCCTTCCTTATCTTCCTTCTTTCCCATCATCTGAACTCTCCCTCCCTTTCCTCTTCCACTGTTCCCTCCTCTGCCCTCCCCCTCCTCTTTTTTGTCTTTCCTTCTTTAACTGAATTCAGGTACTTTGCACTGAGCTATGTCTCCAGCCCTTAATTTTTTTTGAGAGAGAGAGTGGGTCTCCTAAGTCACTAAGTCTCTATCTTCAGAAGGTTTTCTCCATGCAAATTTGGTGGATTACCTTGGTTTTTCCCTCTGTGTATCATGTTGACTTGCAAGTGGAGGCATGCAGTCTTAACCTGGAAGTATATGACAGGCCTAAGCCAAATTAATAAACCCCAACTGGAGAGAAAACAGGAGATAGTACTATCTAAGTTTAACTTAGCAGGAAACAGGAGATAGAACTAAGTTTAACTTAGCAGGAAACATAGGGACTTAGGACATATAGGGACTTAGAAAAGTGTAATATGTAGTAACAGGAAAAAGAGCAGAGATAGAGCATCCATAGCAGGAAGGGTGTTGCAAAGAAACGTCACAAATGTATATGCACGTTAGAGTATTCTGTTATTGTATTTTCTACCATAATATGTGCTTTTTACTTTACCTGTAAAAAATACTTTAAAAGTTCAGCTGATGAGTGATTTGTTAAATAATATAAAGACAGAGAAAATGCACATGTAGTATTTATGGAGGGCTGGAATATAAATTGAAAAATGTAGGCATCTAAAATTCTGAGCTTTGGAAACAATTTTATATGAATATAGAATCATGAAGATGTATTTATGTTTGTGTACACAAGACTTCTTGCTGATAATTTGCCATGGCAATAATGTTTATTGTTGAAAATATAGAGATATATGTCAGTAAATACCTTAAGTATTTGAGTAAAGTGATTATCTTAATCAAGAAGAAAACATACAATATTAGAAAACAGAAAGTTGTATCATACAAAAGAATGGAATGTTGAAGGAATTTTTAGGTTTTGTTTAATTGCAAAAAGAAAAAACAGGGAATTGTATCTCGGAAAATGTGTAAAAAGTCTCATAACAACTGGAAGGTTACATTGATTGCTGAAATTTTACATCATCCAAGATCAGGACAGAGACATTCTACATATCACAAATCTGTATGATCTGTAGCTAGCATTTAAAAAAAAACCTTAAAAATATATTTAACGAAAGAACTACAAAACTGAAAACTCTTAAACATCACTGCAGCTCTGTAAAGAGAATTCTAGCACAGAGACCAGGGCAGCAGAGATAGAGTGAATATAACTAAATGTTAAGCTCACAAATACATGCCACAGAAAAATCTTTTCTTCCCTCAAGCTATTTTTTTCCATTGTTTTTCAAAGGCCATTAAAATGAACAGCAGGTTGTGATGAAAATTTCATTAAGCCCCAGTTTAATCATTATGAGGGTGCCATATTCATGCCTTTGCTTCCTCTCATTGAGGATGGAAAACAGATTTCAATAGAAAGACCACATTATTTCCAACCTTACCTCTGCCAATAGCAAATGAACAAAAATTCAGAAGTTAGAGGAGAATGGTGTACCACACAAAAGGAGACCGCTGAGGTGAAATGGTTAGAATGAAAATTAGATTTGCATATGAGCTGAAGAAAAAGACAGCTTTTATTTATTCTATCTAGCCTATTTTTTCAAACAACTAATTAAAATAGTTAGAACTTAGAAAAATATATTTATTATTTGTATCTTTTTATTCTATCAGAATTTTTGCCTGTCACTGAACACATAAAGTTCTATTGGTAAAGATTCTTATTGTTCAATATTTTAACTGGCATGTTATGCTAAAGTTCATAATAAATTCAAAATTCTAAATA